GTAAGCTATCAAACATTTGTCGATCGCTTGACTACACTCGGCTCAGGAGCACATCGAGGATTTGACGATCCACGACCTACAAATGGGTGGGGCATTAAACAGACAGACTGACGGCTGCCGCTCCTCAGGGCGTTTGATGTAATCCACAAGGAAGCGGTCATCGTGAACGCTTTCTGAGAACAAAGTAATCTTGGTAATCTTAGTTTCAGCTTCACAGCAAACGAGTCACCCATAGTTGCTTCGCTCCTGTGTCAACGAAAATCACACAGAACGTTCGTCGCAGTCCCTTGTGGAAAGATTGACAGACTGCTGTCTCAGCATATGCACTAGCATACACACGCATTAAAAGTTTACGGTAGCCATCAGAAGTGCTAACACAAACAGCCTGCCATTAGAAATGGAGTTCAACATCGACGGTAGCAGAAGTCGCCAACAGATCAGCAGTTGCGCACGCGATCAATATTAATCACATAAGGGCACCACCAACACTGCGGCGACAAACAACGCGCCATTTTCTGAATCTACAGTTCACAACACCACGTTTGTCACAGTCGAAAAACATTCCAAATGAAAATCGCAGCTCACAGGGTCGCGCCATGCACTCAACTCAGTAGCTGGCGCGACGAAACTGTATCCTTCCAGTCTATAAATGGATCAAAAATGCAACGGCCACCGTCTAGCAGAAGCAACAAATTTGCCTCGACGCGAAACAGTAACCGTGCCTGGCGTCCATTTTGATTGAACTGTACTAGCAAAAGACAGTATCAAGACCTGTAGAGACTGACTAAATAGAAGTGAGTAGAGTCTGGACGAAGCCCAACGAGCAGTTTAAACAACAGTGAACTTCTAATTAGGTTATAACTGACATCAAAATATTTGGCTCTCCTTTAAATAACGGTCCCTAGCTGGAAGGCGACGGGCGCTTAGTCGGAGTTCACTCCCTTGGCTGCAGTGCAAATAAGGAGTGAACAAGTCACGAATCAAATACAAGCTCAACAGTGACATACACATCCAAACAATTGAAGGACTGTGGATGCTACTTAAACGGACAATTCGCCATCAATTAGGCACTAGCCGCGCGCTATTGCCGTCATATTTAGGAGAATTCCAGTGGCGCCACTCCCACAAGCAGCATATTGTTGGCCATTATTTGGAACTCCTGCGTCAAATTTTCACATATAGTGGTCGTTATTATGGGTAAGTGCTCGACGCTACATGTGTTACCCTAACCCAAACCCTAACCCTAACGGTAACCCTAACCCAAACCCTAACCCCACCCCTAACCCTACCCCAAACCCTAAGCCTAGCTTAACCCTAAGCAACCGTAGGATGACAGGTAAGTATGTCATTTGTTTCGTTCCCTCTTTACCACTCCGTATTTGCACTGCAGCCAAGGGAGTGAACTCCGACTAAGCGACCGTCACCTTTCAGCTAGCGACCGTTATTTAAAGGAGAGCCAAATATTGTGCAATTTGTCTTTGGCTGCTGAAGAAGAATATGAAGCGAATGTCCCTAGTGAATGTTGATTCATCCATCAATTCATTTACCAAATCATTTATTCATTCATTGGGACTGGCGGAGTGGCAAGACTGTTTCAAAAATGACCTTGGCATAAACATGCTTCATCATGCGTTAACTACATGTCACGTAATCGTCTTAGTGTCAAAGATTCGTCATTATCAACTTACCTAGTACATGATATTTGCTCTGTCCAAGCTTCTTCCACCATACGTTGTTGCGATGCTTGTGAATTCATTACCTTTCACGCAAGCATGTCTAAGTGTATAGACGGAGGTTTAGTGTTAGTGAGTGTCTGTAATTATGTACATATTTGTTTGTGTGTGTGTGTCCGTGTGTGTATGGATGGAATTGTTTGATTGATTATGTTTTTGTCTGTGTATCTATGTGTGCTTTACACCAGACAGTGCTCAGAAAATCTATAACGAAAATCCCCGCCTTCTGGGCTAGTCATGAAATTGTTTTGGCCATTCTGCTGCACAACTTCTTCTTCGATCTTTCTGTTGGAAAACATATCAGGAGACGGGTAGCCTTTATGACAGCTATCGTGCAGTCCGTATCCTCTCGTGTACCACGCAGCCTTGTCTTCATTGTGGCTGGAACAGGCCAGACTGCGTCTCTGTTGTCAGCATACAGTGTCAGCAGTTGACAGTGTTGGAGCACATGCTCAGCATTTTCGGGTGCCACGCTGCATCGAAAACTGTTGTCTTTCTTGCATTAACAGTATCTTCTGTCCTGCGTCTTCTGTCTTGGACCTTCTGTCCTGTGTCTTCTGTCTTGGATCTTCTGTCTAGATTCCTCTGCCTTGTTTTCCGATTTTAGTAGTGTCTCTTTTTCTTACGAACGGCGTGCATTTTTTGACGCAACATTTTTTCCCCCGATCATTTTGTCAAGCAATATTTCAGAACTGTGACCATGTGCCTTGCGTTGGTTTCGACAGTGTTATCAAGAAAGCCTACCGTCCATAAAGCAATGGCAAACTACTGGACAGAAATTTGCCTAGAAAAACCACACAACAGTCAGGGGCTGCTGAGGTTGGTTCTGCAACGTCCTGGAAAGAATACACAACTAACCTAATACAGAGAAGTTAGTCCAGGTGTGAAATATAGGTAACATTCGGGGATCATTATAAAACGATAGTTACCTATTTTTAGGTCCACGTAATATTGCCAATTACAACAGGGTTTACGGACAAAAGAATGTAACAAACAGAGTAAAGGGCATGTATATGAATGATGTTCCGTGTTATTCTTCTGTTTTTGCTACCAACACGGATATTGTTTGCAGCCTGCTGAGATTTAAGAAAAGCCACACCAGTGTGGACATAAATTACCAGCATTAACGCATCTATAACTAAATGGATACTTGCATCCACAGTAGCGTAGCCAATCATGAACTCGATGAGTCTGTGACAACAAGCACGCCCGAAAACATATATTTGACCAAAGGCCATGTCAGACAGCAGATGGTTGATTTAGTAGTTACCACTCACTGGTGTAAAAACGCCAGGCAACGGTAAACCCAGCGTTCAACAGACAAAACCAAATGACAACATCGACTGAAGATCAAACTAAAGAACACTTAATATAAACGTATGCAAAGCTATAGAACAAGGCTACGCCTTTCCTTTGTATACTTAGGACATATAGAAGGAATGCAGATGTCATCTCAAAGAGAACAACCTAAAGAACTCACTGATAGACATCTGCACTGATCTTAAAAACTGGGAAATCGCTGCATGTGACCACTCATCCTGGCTTTCCTCTCACTCATCGTGGAGCTGTGGCCTCAATTCCCTGCCCACACTGCTGAAGAACGTTCAGTGCTAGAATAGGCTTTATCAGCCACTTGCGCACCTGACAAAACCTACTGCAGTGATGAACCTGTGATGGACGAACAACAACATCTCAAAGGCTGCAGAAAATAGCATATCACCTACGGCTAGGAATACAAATACATTTCAAAACGCTTGCAGACGGGGGCTGCAGCAATAAAGACAATGATAGCGTTAAGGGCGAAAATATACATATATTCGAAATCCTCTTCAAATATTCAAGAGGAATCACCGTGTTGCCGTGGGATGCAGTTTTTATTTTTCTTCACATATAACAGATTACATATTAAACTTCATTGTTTTCCACTTGTTGTCAGCTGTGCATGGCGTTTATTCAAATCTGACACCACTAAACCCTTATTGCTAATTAAATATGAACTAATATATTTTCTTACCAGAGTTCGTTATAGTTTGCATTTACCCACTCTTGACTTTAAAACATAATTGAAGCTTGTGCTCCAGAGTTAATTTTTAATTATTCATTGAATTGACACATGCATACATGAATGAATGAGTTAATCAATCAATCAATCCATTAACGAACGACTAAATGAATTGACATCCACTAGAAACATCCCCACACGCGCTTCGCATTCTTCTTTAGCAGGTAAAACAAAAAAGAGTCAATACTTTCAGTGTCAGTCACAACCTGATTAAAAGTCCGCCCTTGTTTCACCTGCATGTTGAGCTTTGTCTAGACACTCTTACTCAGTCAGCATCTCCGTGTCTGGATACTCTGTTTTGCTACATCATTCACTTGATCTCAGACAACCTTCAGTATGAACGCCTCATTGTGAATTACTTCACAGCCTAAAAAAACCGGCAGCAGTCAGTTTGTCAGTCTCCTTACTGCCCGCCCATTCGCAGGTTTTCAGAAAATCCATGTTCTCCTGAAGCGATTCAAACCATGTTTTGAACGCTTGCATGTTAGCATATCTCTTGAAAACCATTTTAACAGACAAGTTTAATGGAACGGTCATTTCTTCATTCGAAATTATCAGTTCAACAGCATTTTATCTGTATGTGATGAGGTTGAATATAAAATAAAACAGAGGGTACACAAGGTGAGACCATTATAAAATCGTTGAATATTTTTTTTTAAGTGAGCTGAAATTTTAATTTGGCCGTCGCTTGTTGCTCAGCAACAAGAGACATGAGGAGAATTGTGAACCAACATAAAAATTGTGTTGTCAGTCGTAACACGCTTGGAATAAACAGAAGAGTGGATCTGAGCGCTTATGGACTGAATACTTTGAGAGAAGTATTGAATGTTTTGTCAACTAACAATCGACCGTGTTACTTAGCTGTGAACTGTTCGCCACAGACCATGTTTACTGAATCTTTGCCCATGTCGCAGTAAACTCAAGACTACAGCCTTCTACAATCTCAAAAACAGCAAATAGGGGAGACACATATGGCTTAACCAATTTTAGTTGGTTTTTTTAACTGTACGGAAATATGAACCTAAAACTAGCAACATCCTAACTTTGAAACATTAACATGGAGGTCTGTGACTAGACTCTGATGAAAACCAATTTTGGACAAATTACAGTGTTTCATTCATGACCACCGGTCCACATATTGCCAACTACTGACGTTTCTTAACTGATCATTAAACATTCACAAACTGACAGCTGCAGCTCTGACTATGGAAAACTGTACGAACAGCAGACTTTTAGAAAACATCTCACTTATAGATGTGTACCTATCGATTATCGAAATTGTTATACTGAGTATTTCTTTAGTCCTCAACGTCATCATCGTCGCCAGTGTCTGTTGTAGCCCCCGTCTGCACACGTTCTCAAACATCTTCGTTGTTTCTCTAGCCGTCAGTGATATACTCTTTGCAGCAGCCTCTGAGTCGCCATCTGCAATCGTTCTATACGTCGCAAATACACGCCAGGAATTGCCATGTTCATTAGCTTTGCAATGCATGTGTTTATATTTAGTATTCTGCAGCTTGATCTGTAGTCGATTTGGTCATTTGGTTGTTATTGTAGAACGATGGCTCTACATCGCTTGGCCGTTTGTGCATCAAAGGGTGATAACTACAAAATCAACCATCTGCTGTCTGATATTCGTTTGCATGATATCCATGTTATCAGGCGTGCATGTTATCACAGATTGCGGGAACAGTCGCGTGGAGTTTATGATTGGCTACGCTACTGTGGATGTATATATCCACTTTGTTGTAAGTGGGTTAATGTTGGTCATTTATGTCCGCATCGGATTTATCATTCGAAGACAAAGTGTGGCTATTCTTAAATTTCAGCTGACTGCAAACAGTAGTGTTGGTAACCCAAATAGAAGGATGACCTGGAACATCGTTCGTTTGCCCATTACTATATTCGGGACATTCTTTTTGTCCGTAACTCCATTTGTGGTTGGTAATATTTACGTGTATGTCTTAATCGGGAATCCATCGTATTACAGAAATTATACTGCGTATGATGTCCTCAGAATAATATCATTGTTTCACACCTGGACCAACTTCTTCGTCTACGTGTTACAGGATAAAGATTTCAGAACGGTTCTCAAATGCTACCTGATAAAAATCGGAAATGCAGTTTTGCGTCCAAAAATTTACCCAGTTAATTGAAAGATGCAAGTCTAAAGTAGAAAGCAAGCTACAGACTTTACAAGTATAAAGAATTTTTTATTTACAGTCTCCCTGAAACTGTCAAAACACGACGTCCATAAAAAAAAAAGTAAAGATCCCTTTACACGCCTTTAAGGCGCATCGGGCATACGGGAAGAGCACCCATATTTTTACAGCCCAATCGGCACTCGGTGGTCAGCATTACGCCGGCCGTCTTTACTTTCCCAGGACAGCCCATCCTGGTACCCATCTGAGGCTGGGTCGACCTGCGACGTCCCATACTACGATAAAAATCCACGCAGCCCACGCAGGTTTCGATCGCGGTACGTTGGATTACGAGTCGGACTCGCAACGCCTTAGCCACGGACGCCGCATGACGTCCATTACCATCAAGTAACCGCAATATTTGAATCAAGTTACTCGAAAATATTTCAAAATGTTCTTATCATTAAATTTCCAGTAACTGGTGACTGTGCCGAAAATTAAATAATGAAAAGTTATGATAGAATCACTAATGTGGAGTCTAGGGAGAGAGCTAAGAACTAAATATGTGTCGAAGAATCAAGAGCCGAGGAAAGGACGCAGGCTACAAATAATACATCTGCTGAGAAAAACCAGAGCACTATATAATTAGAATGCCTTCATACAGGGGCGTAGACATAATGGCAGATCAAGAAATACATGGAGAAAGGAGCTAGATAAAAGGGTTAAAAAGATGGGGTAAACATTGTGAACAGTGTGAGTAGCACAGGATAACAAAGGACAGGATGAGTTTGTGCTTTCACTTACATTCACATTCACAGCTGGTCTCTGCTGTCATCTTTGAGTGGATCAAGTCACTGTTCGCATAGCAAAAGGACAGGATGAGTTTGTGCTTTCACTTACGTTCACATTTACAGTTGCTCTCAGCTGATATCTTTGAGTGGATCAAGTCACTGTTCGCATAGCAAAAGGACGGGATGAGTTTGTGCTTTCACTTACGTTCACATTTACAGTTGCTCTCAGCTGATATCTTTGAGTGGATCAAGTCACTGTTCGCATAGCAAAAGGACGGGATGAGTTTGTGCTTTCACTTACGTTCACATCCACAGTTGGTCTCAGCTGTCATCTTTGAGTGGATCAAGTCACTGTTCGCATAGCAAAAGGACGGGATGAGTTTGTGCTTTCACTTACGTTCACATCCACAGTTGGTCTCAGCTGTCATCTTTGAGTGGATCAAGTCACTGTTCGCATAGCAAAAGGACGGGATGAGTTTGTGCTTTCACTTACGTTCACATCCACAGTTGGTCTCAGCTGTCATCTTTGAGTGGATCAAGTCACTGTTGGGTAACGCAGGGCTGACAATAACAGGTACCGGTGATCATGTCTTCGCGCATCTAGGGCGACCTGGCCGGTGGCGGTCGTTCAAATTACCTGTGGCCTGCAATCTCTCCAGAATTCTTTGGGTATCGAACCTGGCACCCGGATTGTGGTCGGCATCTGTGGCGCATGCACTTTGTAATGCCGGGGTGTGGGGTTTAATCCCAGCTGCAGGCCTTGCGTTGGTTTCGACAGTGGTATGAGAAGCCGACCGTCCGAAGCCTTTGCAAACTACTGGACGTAAATTTACCTAGAAAAACCACAACAGCCACACACAATAAATGCGTGGGGTTGGTTCTACAATGCCATGTAAAGAATACGCAACTAATTTTAGCAGATTTTGACACTGAGAAATCTAGTAACTTCACGGATGGATAAACCAGTTTCACCCCACATTATAAACTTCATTCTTTGTAAGGTGTCTTCGTCTCGATGGCGTGGTTTTCGCAAGGGATAAAACAATCAATAAGAATAAACTCACAGGGAGCAAGTACAGCGGGGATCTACAGTCATCAGTAGAAATTATCCTCGTCGACACACGTTTCGGCCCACGATTCCTAAACGTATTCGGAGGTGGGCCCACCTGAGTTCATGAAGCTCAGGGCTGCTTCCCCGCCGCACAGAATTAAGGTCAACTGAACGTTCAACAAAGTGACACTTAACGCTGTTCAACAACAGTCGCTACTGCACGTGGAATGTCTGTCAGCGCAATTACTTTACCTATTTGGTTGTAGGAAAGTTTGAAAAACCGATTCAAAATATGACTTTATGGACGGCAAGCCAAATTGCAAGTGCTCATCATGGTTGTTGGTGAGCTGTTTTCATACTTCGCATGAATAGAAGACTGTCATAGGAAGATACTGTACTCAGTTTTACTAAATGCTTTCTTAAAAAAAAAATCATTCTTTGTGCTGTTACAAAAAGTGTATTGAAAATAAGAAAGAAGATACTGCACCCAGTTTTACTAAATACTTCTTTTTCTTCAACATTCCGAGCCCTTGAGGTACATTGCTGCAGATATCCCCCGCCTCCATTCATCTCTCTGGTTGACCTTCTTCAGTATTCCGAGCCCTTGAGGTTCATTGCTGCAGATATCACCCGCCTCTTTTCCCCGCTGGTTGCATCTTTGATGCTTTCTTAATAATTTCTTCAATATATCATTCTAAGTGCTTATACAAAAGTGTTTTGAAAATAAGTAAGAAGATGTTGCACACAGTTTTACTAAATACTTTCTTCATTTAATCCCTCTATGTGCTTATACACAAGTATATCGAAAATAAGAAAGAGAATATTGCACCTATTTTCACTAAATACTCTCTTAATTCATTGTATGTACATTTATAAAGGTGTATAAAATAATAAAGTGACCCTTGACTTTTGGAGAGGAGGGGGCTACCAGTTATGTCTTCTAACTTTTAAAAAAAATTTCATTCGCACCAGGGCAAGGCAAAATTGAAAAATCTTTTCGTCACTTTATAATCTCAGCCGATTAAATACTGCGGACTCAACAAGAGACTGCACATTTTATTACCTGGCAAATTTCGCTGTATCACATCCGATGCCTTATTACAGAGTTAACTCCTTCAGTCCCAGACGTTTGTTGCTTTAATGCTGTCCGTTGTCAAGTGTGTGTACTTTGTAGTGATAGTTTTGACGTTTTAAGGAGATTAACTAACATAACAATGAGATAGAAGAGTTAAAATAACAATTGGAAAAGAATAAACGGAAGGGACCTGGTCAAGAAATGCCCCTATACTGAGTAATCAGTAAACGCATGGCGATTTGATCGGTACTGAAAGAGTTAAAACAGATTTGAGGTTTAAACAACGGATCAACATTATGGCACACGGGTAGTAACACATAAGTGCTCCGTTCTTCTTCTAACTAAAGTCTGAGTCCGAAGAAGCTCAGCACAGTGCACAGGCTCTGTAGCACCTGCGAGGATCCTGAAATACTATGGGTAGATTTATAACTCCAAATTTTGCCCGGGCAGCGCGGTTAGGCTACTCTTTTTGATTTCCAACTGCTATGAGATTTTTTTTTTAACGTGCGCAGCAATGTACACAGACGTCCGATATCACTACCCAGAGACCCGAAGGAATAACTAGAAGTTCAAGTCCACGTGAAAAAATCCCAGGCCTTACCGGGGATTGAACCCGGAACCTCTAGCACTCGAGGCGGACACCATGCATCAAGACCACGCAGCCCCCTTGAGTTGAAACAATAAATAATGAATCATAAAAATGAATCTTGTTCGATGAAATGCATAAACCACATTGTCAAGTTACTAAAATCTCTTCCCGGAAAATTCAAAATCAGTCACGGATTATCACGGTATCATAAAATTCATCACGTAATCTTTCTGTGCAGATGACACATAAGAGTTCAGTTTTATTAACAACTTTATTGACTTATTTTTAGCAAATGTATATTCAATGTGTGGTAAATAATTACGAAGGCACAATCCTTATCAATTGTGGACACGGTTATGTCCAACTATTGTCCTTCATTACTTAACCACCGTCAGTGTTCAGAAACTGTGCGAACCCATGTTGTTTCATATTACTTAATATTACATACGTTTATAATTCAGTAGGTTCACATGTATTCAGTTCAGCGGGTGTATCTTCGAACTCAAACCACTGTTTCTAATAATTTCAATACACCGCTTCAGAACTGACCTGAAATCGTTGTCCTGTAAAACGTACACAAAAAATTACCCCAGGTGTGGAACAGTGAAACGGTTTTCACAACGTCATAAGCGATGTTATTGGCGTAATTTTCTGGATTTCCGAAAGTAGCAAGCAGGTAAATATTCACGATCATAATTGGAGTCGTAAATAAAAAGATGGAACCGAAAATGGTCACGGGCATACGAACCATGTTCCATGTCATTTTTCTGTTTATAGAGCCATCGCTTTTGTTCTTGACCGCTGATGTAGATTTGAGTATGGCCAAACTTTGGCGTCGAATAATAAATGCGATGTGGATGTATATGGCAAGTATGAGACCCCCGAAGGTTATGTGGATGGTGGAGTCGATGGTTGCGTATCCAATAATGAACTCACGGAGACTATTGTTACAGTCTGTGACTACGTGTACTCCTGACAACATAGATACGGTCCATACAGATATGAGAGAAAACACTACTGATTTGGAACTCATTACTCTTTGATGCAGAAATGGCCACGCTATGTACAGCCAACGTTCAAGGGAAATAACAAAATGACAACAACGGCTGCAAATCATACTGAAAGAAACTAAATATAAACATGTACAATATAGAATAATAGCATTAGCAAATGGTTTCTGGATAGCGGCCACGTATAAATTACACGCAGCTGTTACAACGAAAGCTGTCGCATATATCAGGTCACTTACAGCCAATGTGGCAAGTAGCACATGAGAAAATGTACGAAGTCGGCTGCTACAGCAAACGCTTGCGAAAATGATGGAATTGAGGGAGATGGAAATGCTTAACAGAACAATTTCGAAAATTGATATGTAGATATTTATACCTCCTCGGTGTATATAACTCCCGCTGTTGTTAGTGCAGTTATCACCAGCCATAAATAAAAGTTTACAGTCAAGTGTTTATTTAATAGGATTTTTTTCCCCCACTATGAAGTGACATAAATACC